CTCCTTACGCTGAGCAGACAGACTCTCTTACAGAGCGTCGTGAGCCTACGTCTCGTCCTCCCTTGCCTGTTCGCGCTATTCGCACTGGTCGTCGTGTTCCTCGTCTGCGTCCTCCTCCTGTCCCCGGCACTCACATTATGGCACTTCGTCCTTCCTCTGTTCCACAGCGAGTTCCCCTGTCGCCTCCTCCTGCGTCCTCTCTTCCTTTTGTTCTTGACCCTGAGTCTGACTTAGCTCGTGCTGCCAGTCCTACTATCCCACGTCTTCTAGCCACTGTTCTCACTGACCCTTCGTTTGAGTCCACTGCTGCGTCTACCCTAGTTGCTGAGCTTGTTGACTTTGCTGCCACCTGTTGTCTCGACTACACCGCTAGTCTTGTTGCTGAGTCTGAGTCTGACTATCCTCCGTCCGTCGGGGGTGAGTGTGCTCTTGGCACGGACGTCCTTGAGGACAGGCAGGAGGACTTTGAGTGTCTTGTAGCTGTTGTACCTCATCTTGTGGCCATGCTGCTTGCACCTGAGGAAGACCCGGATGCACCAGACATCCCGACCCCGCGCTCTTACGCAGAGGTGATTACGGGCCCCTACTCCTCTCAGTGGCAGACAACCATGGACGCAGAGATGGCATCCTGGAATTCCACAGACACCTACGTCGATGCAGTTCCCCCTTCTGGGGCGAACATAGTCGATGGCATGTGGATTTTCAGGGTGAAGCGGCCGCCGGGTTCTCCGCCTGTCTTCAAGGCTCGTTACGCTGCACGAGGCTTCAGACAGCGACAGGGAGTTGACTTCTTCTAGACCTTCTCCCCTACCCCGAAGATGACCACTCTTCGGGTTCTGCTGCACGTTGTCGCTTAGCGTGACTACGAGCTGCACTCTCTTGACTTCAGCACAGCTTTCTTGCAGGGCAGCCTGCACGAGGAGATCTGGCTGCGCCGTCCACCTGGCTTCACTGGGTCGTTTCCTCCTGGTACCCAGTGGAGCCTCCGGCGGCCAGTCCACGGTCTCCGCCAGGCGCCTCGCGAGTGGCACGACACACTGAGGACGACGCTTGTGGCTCTTGGGTTTGCTCCTTCGAGTGCTGACCCGTCGCTGTTTCTGCGCACTGACACTTCGCCGCCGCTGTTCTACGTCCTCGTGTACGTCGACGACTTGGTCGTTGCCACTGCTGACACTGAGGCACTGGCCCTTGTGAAGTCGGAGCTGCAGAAGAGACACACCTGCACTGACTTGGGTGAGCTGCGCAGCTATCTTGGCTTGCAGATCACCCGGGACTGAGCATGAGGCACCATCACCCTGATTTGGTCACACATGGTGCAGCAGGTCCTTCAGCGCTTCGGCTTCCGATACTCCTCGCCACAGTCCACTCCTCTGCCTACTGGTCACTCGCTCTCAGCTCCACCTTCGAACGAGTCCGTAGAGGCGAGTGGCCCGTATCCAGAGCTTGTGGGCTGCCTCGTGTACCTGATGACCTGCACTCGACCTGACCTTGCCTACCCTCTTAGCATCCTGGCACGCTACGTGGCGCCCGGGAGACACTGATAAGAGCAGTGGGAGGCCGCTAAGAGGGTGTTGCGCTACTTGTGCAGTACATCGGGCATGTGGCTCGTGCTTGGATGACGGGGTCCAGTTGTCCTCACTGGACACGCAGACGCTTCTTGGGTTGACGACTTGGCTACGTAGCGGTCAGCCTTGGCTCTAGCTTTGTTTCTTGGCGGTCTACCCGTTCGTCTTCTGTTCTCAGTTCCAATTGTGAGGCCGAGATCTACGCAGGGGCCATGGCTGCATAGGAGTTACGCTGGCTCACCTACCTGCTGACTGACTTGGGAGAGCGGCCTCGTTCTTCTCCAGTTCTGTACGTAGTCAACAAGGCCATGATTGCCTTGTGTCAGGAGCACAGACTGGAGCACAGAACGAAGCACATCGCTCTGCGTTACTTCCTTGCTCGAGAGTTGCAGCAGCGTGGTCAGTTTCGTCTTGCTTACGTGGCCACTCGGGCCAACACTGCTGATATATTCACCAAGACACTTCAGTCTGGTGATCATTAGCTTTTCTGTACTGTTTTAGGCCTCGTGCCTACTTTGCCTCACTTGCTTACTGCGTGACTTTGCTTGTACTGTGATCTGTATATATACGTGCATGCTTACACTTGCTAGGGTGTGAGCACTGTAATAATTGTTCTCTTTTATATAACTCTGCCTGTGAACTGGCCTTATGGCCATTTGCTTGTGCTGAGAATGTGTGGTGACTTCGTGATCCACCTTGAGCTTGCCTTGCTTTTCTTGACTGGTCTTGTGACCACTTGTTCTCCCCCACTTTGCCTATGGGGGTGTGTCGAAATGTTTTAGTGCTTACATTGTGTAGGCTGTAGTGGGGTAGCCCATAAGGGGTACCGTACAACCCAATTAGGGTTAGTAATTGTACCAAGTTTCTGCTCAATGCATTTCATTCTCGTTCAATATTCTGACAGCAACACCATGGTTACGCAGGATGAGCAGTCTATGCGATGTTTTCAGAGCCAGCTGTCGTTCCATGATTGGAGTATTCGGTCAGGCAGGGTGATAGCTCATGTGCATGCTCTGTTACCACACTTGCAAAGTGATGAAGAAAGTTCCTTGGCAACACAGTCTGGAACCGTCTCCGAAGACCAAAGAAAATCTGGAAGGAAATTCAAGAAGCACCTAGTACAGTACTAACTTGCACCTCCACATTGAATTCTCTTGCTTATGAACTGATTTTCTTCCGGATCCATCTGAGCAGAGACCAGCAAACAGACGAGAACCCCAGCAGCAGCACTGCCAACCCAAGCGCCTGCTGCAGGGGCAGTGTGACAAGCAGGTTCACGAGCACCCCTGCAAGCATCACACCAGCCAGATTCGCAGTCAGCGCCTCCCAAAACGGCATCCCGAGAATGTACGCGCCGATCGCACCCGACCATGCGCCGGTGCCGGGCAGGGGGACGGCGACGAAGAGAGCGAGGCCGAGCCACTGGAACTCGGCGATGGGGGCCGCTTTGGCACGGGAGTGCTCGAGGAAGGAGTTGAGGAGGGCTTTCAAGCTCGGGTTGATGCGGGCAAGAGTGGTGGTGGCTGGACCGAGGAGGGTGAGGAGGAACGGCACTGGCACCATGTTGCTGTGGTGGGGGGACAGGTGGGTTGCGAGTGGTGGGGGGTACGGGGGATTTAGGAGGGGGAAGGGGAGGGGTAAGAGGGGGTCAGGGGCGGGTAAGAGGGTTGATGCGGGAGAGAGAGACGGATGCTGGGGCGAGGAGGGCGAGGAGTGGGGAGGCAGGTGAGGTACCCGGGAACATCTGGGAAATTGGGATAATGAGGCTGAAGGGAAGGGAGGGGGCGAGAGAGGGGTTATGATAATGCTGACAGATAAGGACATGCTTTCCAAGGAAGTCTGACCTGCTTCTTTAGTGTTGACTTATTCATGTATTTATTTATTGATTTATTATTTAGTTTCGATTTTGCAGCTCACCCAAGGACGGCCAGCGAGGAAGCTACTAACGGCTCCATGCCCATCCAGTACGCGACGGGTATGGCGCCTCGTAACTCCACCACCGGCAGCGCCGCAATGAACGTCACGATCGCCGCGTCTGGCCAATGCGATTCGCGCAGCGCCGCCGCGACGCGCAACCCAAGACCCGACTTGGCTATGGATGTCGCCGCGCCAGCCGCGGCGCCACTTGCGGCGGTTGTTGCGGCGGAGGGGTCGGAGGCTAGTGCGGGGAATGGGGTAATGAGGGAGAGGAAGAGCGGAAAAAGCGCCGCGGCGGCGACGAGGAGGATCGCGGGAAGGGCGGAAGGCAGCGGCGGAAGCGGAGGGCGGGAGTCCGAGGGGGCATTCTGATGTCTTTGCGAGAAACGGGGGGCCGCAGCGTCAACACTGTTGGAGGTGTGGGTCTGAAGCAGGACGCTCTCTATAAGAGAGGTTTCATTGTCAGCGCTCGAGCCGTTTCTGCCTGGAAAAGCGGCCGCAACAGCAGAGGAGGGTAATACGGGCGTGATTAATCTTCTTGCGAAAAACGAGGCTTGGCTTTGTGGCTGACGTGGCGACTGGAGCCGTTTAGATGGAGCGAGCGCGCGGCGGGGAGAGAGTGCGCATTTGGCGGAAAGCGGAGGGGTTGAGCGGTATCTCTGCGCAGACGACGAATTGGATAATGTGCATTGGGGGGAAAGCGAAGATGCAGCAAGCGGTCTTGTCCCCAGCGCAATTGCCGCCATGCTTGCAGAGGCCATGCCCGCGTCTAGTTAGCAGCACGGCGACATGTGAGAGCTATGTGGTCCATAAGTGATGGTATAGGGAGTGAGGGAGGTGGAGGCAGGAAGACGCAATATTGATCACCTCATAACCCTACCCAAACTCTGATTTCTCCACAAAGCCACATTCAAACGCCTATAAACCCACACAACCGCAGTAGAGTGAACAATATTAAGGTTGAAGCCCAGGGACGTAGGGATTGCACAGGCGAACGTCGCTACTGGCGAAACAAAATTCCACAACCATGGTTACCCGCTTCAGGTCACTTGGTTCTGTCAAAACTCTGGGAGTGTAACGTACGTGCTTGTGTGACAGCGAATACTGTGTATAACGGAGACAGCGTTTCCTGATTCAGAGCCTTGGTGATTGCCTTCTCCCCAACCAGTGCAGTCCAATGATCAAATCATAGCAGTCACTCAGGACTAAATGCTTTTCGCTCGTTGCATGCTGGCCGTCCCACGCACATAGATTGCACGCCGTCACATCAACCGAAGACATACATCGTTCCTGCTCTCTTTCCCCAGTGCTTTGTCCTACTTACTGTTACGGCCCATCCAACCATCATCTTTCGAGGTCGCTCTTTCCATTGATACTCGCGGCTGGCCTAAAGCATCCCATCCCATTCACGCTGCGCCAGTGTGACTACACTCATATTTTCCGAACAGCAGACTCGAAGGCTCTGAAAGCAGCTGTAGAGAAACATTTACAACCAGCGCATTAGTCGGTCGAGCGGCGATGGTGCTACTCCTTATCTCCATCCGATGCGAGCTAGAGAATCTGACCAACCTTCGGCCTGCGTCAGACGATTTCACATTCTACATGAAACTCAGGTGGGTTTTCCTCGGTCACGGGACTTTAAGCACATGCTATCAACAAAATCTCGCCCATGGCGGTCAAGTGAAACCCTTCAAAGTCCTGGTTAGCTTCAATCTGGGCGCATTACATGCTCTTTGAATTCGTTTGTAACTTTGCTCACCGTATGAAGGCTAGGTTATTTGGGTGCTTTTAGAAGGCTTGGATGTGTCACGGAGGAACAACAGACACTGGAAAGCAATGATTCGTGATTTCCGGAACCACCAACAGTCTCCCATTGACAGCATAACGACAGAGAAAAGCTGCTGACACCAACCTCATGCTGTTGTAATAAGAGGCGTGTACCATCCCAGGGGTGGTATTTCAAGGCAAGTTAAACCTTGACGTCCTGTTATTTGACTTTTTTTTTGTTGTTGATTTTCAGATGTTCCTGTGGGGAAGTGAGTGAGAAAGAGTCGTCGGTGACAAAAGGGGAGGAGTACGAGATGAAGGGCAGCCGAGGCACTGCAAATCTCGTTCAGAAGGTAGCAGACAATATTTCCTGTTTGTTCGTTCCTCGTGTCATGCACTGAGGAGTATAATCAGACTCTGTCAGTCGACTAGGAAACCTGCTTTTAATGCTCCCGAATTGTTTTAGCAATACACTTCATGTTGTGCATTTTTCCTCTTTTCCAACTCTCCTTGCCCCTCAACCCGTTCGCCCATCCCGTCCTCGCCTCCCCAATATGCGCACCTACAGTGTAATTTCTGCAGCCGTGTGGGCTCTATTTCATTGGTAGAAGGGCATGGTAAACCCTTTACGGCAGAAGATTGTGAGAACAGGAAGTTTGTCCCTTTAGTATGCCTGGACTGCAGAGGAATGGAGCCGGTGGAATTCATTCCCAAGGACGGCTGGCAGGCGGAGGGGGCAGAGTCTGGTACCAAGTTTGAAGACATTGATTTGAGCGATAAGGAGTTTTCAGATTACGACGAGAAGGCAGGAGAGTCGGTGAGCATTCTCAACATCGAGTCTCAAATAAAGGTGACGAAGAAGTAGTTTCAAGAGCAAGCCGGTCCCAAATAGTTCACCAATCCTGGCTTGTTAGGCATCTGCCTGTTAAGTAGGTGATATTTTGTGACTGTAGATGCTGCAATAAGAGTGGGATTAGTAACATGTATGGTACTTATATAACCAACCTTTGGGCTTGAATATTTTTTAACAGAGGACTATTGTGTTACGTTCTGCCGCTCTTGGTAGGTTTGAAATTTGTGCACTTCTCACGCGGAAAGGTTTGAAATTTGTGCACTTCTCACGCGGAAGGACTGTTGTTGACGCGCAAATGGTCGTTCCGCCCATGCCATGTGACACTCTCTGACACGACAACAGTTTTTCCCCGTTTCGCCGTGAGGATATACAGAAACAATGGGAAGGCTAATTATTCAGCTTATTTGCCTCATCTAGTCAGAATTAATAGCATAAATTTTGAGAAGAAACGTAGATTCATGCCTTTTTAGCTGCCCGTTATCCACCTTGAATGCGGTTCCGCATTTTGACTTTCGGGCTGCTGCAGCAATTCCTCCTCTACGAAAGCAGGTCCCTCCCATCTTCAGCCTAGTCGAGACCAGACAAGAGCCGCCATGATACACCCCAAGCATTCACTCGCTGGTCCAGTGATCTTGACCGACAGATGCCTTCATCGCCTTCGTCTGGCTTCACTTTCCCATTTCCCATTTTGCAGATGCTTCCCGCTTTGTCCCCTTCATTTCCTCCATTGCCGGAGAGCAGATCCTTCTTTTTCGCACATGGAGATCTGCCCTGGTGGCGGGTGTTCGTGAAGGCAACGGAGGGTCTCACCCATATTCATGAACCTCCGTCCTCCCTGTAACCCTATGAGAGAGCTCTCCGGAATCAGCAGTACTTAATCTCGTTGCCGAGCCCTTCGCGATCATTTTGCGCTGCCCCGAAGGCCTGCATTTCACCAGCATTGCAATCTTTCTTCTTGCGCCGCGTCCATCGGCCATCCGGCGAGCCGCCGCCGGACGGCCGCTGCTGTCCACTGCTGTCGCGGCTAACTAATCTCCGCTGGAGTTGCCGTACCTGCGTTCCTAACAAGACTGACTCCGCATCCCGAAGCTCGTTAAGATGCCACCTCGTTACTTCTGCCTCCTCCACCTCTTCCTGCTCCCCTTCCTCTTCGCCGCACAATGTGGCGTCCCTCTGCCGGCGCAGTCCGCCGCAACTGCCGGCGCGATGGATCCCCTGCGGGAGGGCTTTGATTGGCTGCTTCATGAGCTCGGCGGAGCGGACGCGGACGAGTTTGCTGCGGGAGGAGGAGACGGCGCGGGCTCCGGGAGCGCTGCGCCGATGGACGGAAGCATCGAGGCTTCGCTGGAGGAGTCCGGGTTCGCGGAGCTGCTGACGTGGCTGCGCGAGAATGGCGCGGAGGGAGATGCGCTGACCGGAAAAAACCTCGAGGTGAACAATGTTGCGATTATTCAATGAAACTTGAAATCAAAGGTGATGATTCCGCAACCATGCGACATTGTCAAACATGAATATGCGACCATCGATAATGTATTGAACTCGGAAAAATCTCACACATAATCGCAGACGGGAGAAGTAATATTGCACGTTTCGGTTTTTTTTTTTTTTTTTTTTTTTTTTTCGCCTTTGTGGTGAACATTGAGGTGGAATGTTGATAGAATATTCCCTCAGCCGATCCTTTCCGGCATGCGCTGGCATGGGTTGTGCAGTCTTTCGTGTAGATAATTTCCGTCTATACACTTTTGATTGAGAATGAGAGCTTTATTAAGAATGCAGGGTGTGTACTAAGGCATATGCTAGCACGGACTGCGCCTGTGTCCAAGATTTTTACGTACGAGTCTACAATGGTGAAATTTCTTGTGACGCGGTTTCCCGTTTCTTCGTGCTAGAATCTCCCACGCACGGCTTTGCCGCTGGGACAGTTTTTGTAGTGACAGGATTGAGCAATGAAATCGCTTATCAAATTAAATGCTCTTAAAATGGTGTGAACGAACGTCTGTACGTCACATATGAAGCATCTACCTTTTTCGACTGTTCCATCGAGCCTGCTACCTTGTTCCTATTGTGCCGGCACAACCGAACCTTGCAGCTGAAGGTGTATAAAGTGGAGATTCCAGACGACTCTGGCTCGAATACCACGACCGAAGACTCTGGGATAAAGGAGGTGGGGGATGGTGCGACGGAAGAGAAGGAGGTGAAGGAGAAGGAGAAAAAGAAAGTTGTGAAGAAAAAAGTGGTGAAGAAGAAAGCGTATGATGACTATTATGATGACGAGGATGAGGAAGAGGAAGAGGAGGAGGAAGAGGTGGAGGAGGAGGAAGACGATGAGAAGAGAGGAGACGTAGCAGGCAGTGAAAATGAGAAATCAAAGAAGTTCCGGTGAGTGGAAGGCCTGGATGTTTGGTTTCTGAGTTCAGAGCCTTACAATGCAGGAGTCAGGGTTCAGGGTTCTGGGTTCATGGTTAGGGTTAGGTTTCGGGTTCAGGATTCTGAAAACCGGGTTATTGTGTTGTAATCGTTACGTGGAGATAGTACCCCATTTTGTGCTGTCTTTCAAACGCCACGTGTGGCTGCGTGGGCTACAGTCTGCTTTTGAGTAGACTCAAAAGCAGGTCGTTGTATTGTAGTCGTTGCGTGGAGGTAGTACCCCACTCTATGCTGTCTTTCAATCGCCGTGTGCGGCTGCGTGGGCTACAGTACAGTCTCGGATGGAGCCCCCCCCCGATGCAGCCTCAGGTGCACACTTTGAGGGTTTTAACCACATGTTTCTCGCTTTGAACTAGAAGGACCAGCAGCCAGCCTCACATGCCCAGTTGCTGCTTGTGGGATGCCTCGCAACTTCAGCAACCCAACTCCCTCCATTCCTCTCCTTACATCGCTTTCCCCTTACCCTTCCCCTTCTCCTCCCCTCCCCCCACCCCTCTCTCCCCCCCCTCTCCCCCCAGGTTCTTCCCCCAGCTGCTAGCAGCAGCGCCCATAGGCGCGGGGCAGCTGCTGCTGCGCCTGCCCCTGCCCCTGCTGCTCAACGCCTCGCGCTGCTCCGCGCCCTCCCCCCGCCTCCCCCTCCCCCCACGCCTCCCCCTTTCCCCCGAAGGCGACCTCGCCGCCTGCCTGCTGCTGCTACAGCAGCAGGGGGAGGGGGGCGAGCTGGGGAAGGGAGTGGCGGAAGGAGAGGGGGAAGCTGCGGGGGAGGGGGAGGGCGCGGGGGGGAGCTGGGGAGCGCAAGTGACTCCTGCTGTGCTGCCGGCGCTGCTGGCGTCCCGCACGGCCCACCTGCTGCCCATGCTCAGAAACGACCTCCCCCACCTGCCCCTCCTCCACCAGGTCCGCCCTCCCCCTACCCCCCCCTCCACCTTGCTCTCCTCATCGCCCTCTTTGTTCCCTATGCCCCCCTCACCTTCCCTACGTCCCAAGTTCTTCTTCCCTGTTTTTCTTCTCCTGTCGCCCCCCCCAATCCACCCACCCAACTAAACTCCTGGCCTCTCGCCTATATAGGAGTCGCTTTTGAGAAATCTCAAAACCCCACATCCCCTCTCTTCCCCACTTCAACTGCTACCACACCCCCCCCCACCGCCCCACCTCGTTGTTTTCTCCATGATCTGCTGGTGTTATTGACGTTTTTATCAAATTTCCTCTACCCAACTTCGCCTGTTTTTTACTTCCGTTGTCTCTACTTCGCTGCACCGCGCTGCACCTCATTTCACTTCGCTCTCAGTCTGTTGTATCTCCTTCCTCCTCACTTTACTCCTGCCTCCTCCCTGCCCTCTCTTTCCCTCCCACCTCTCGCTGCCCTCTCCTTCCCTCCAACTCTCTCGCTCCCCTCTTCCCCACCCCCCTCTCGCCCTCCCACATCCGCCCCTCTCTTCTCCTTCGACGTCCCTGCTTCGCCCTCCCTGCTTCGCCCTCCCTGCTTCGCCCTCCCTGCTTCGACCTCCCTGCTTCTCCCTGCCCCTCTCGCCCCCTCTGCTTCGCGTTCCCCACTTCGCCCTGCCCTTCTTGCCCTCTCTGCATCTCCCTGCCGCTCATCCTGCCAGGCCTTGGCCCAGAGGCAGCAGTACGAGCAGGAGTATGCCAACTGGACCGCCACCATCAGTAGCACCACCGACACTGGCAGCAGCAGCAACAGCAGTGCCGTGTCGCTGCCGTCGCTGCAGCAGTTTCTGGTGACGGTGGCGGCCGTGAGGGCGCTGGCTCTGCCCATGCGCCTGCCGCCCCTGCAGGAGGGGGATGGGGAGGGGGAGGAGCAGGGGGGCAGGGGTAAGAAGGGCGGGAAGAAGGGCGGAAGGAAGGGAGGGAAGAGGCAGAAGAAGCAGAAGCAGCGGCGGTTTGAGCTGACGGTGGTGCCCCTCGTGAATGCTGTTGCGCGGGCGAATGAGAGGAACCTAGGGAACGTGCAGTGGCAGGTGAGGTGATGGCAAAGTGCGGTGGCAGGTGAGAGGCTGTCTGAGCAGTGGTAAGCTGCAATGGCATGGACCGTACGTACATGAGATGAGATGTTACCATAGCAGCCCCCATTCGAAATCCCACTTATTGGCTCCATCCCTCTTATGCCCTGTCTCTCCTATCCCGCTCATCCCGATTTCCCAAACCCCCCTCTCGTCCCCCCACCCAGCTCACCCACTCAAACTTCCACCTGAGGGCGTCAGAACCGTTTTAAGTTTGACTCAATACAGACTGGGATTCAGCCTCTAACCCCCCCTTGTCTTCCCCATTCTTCCCACCCCGATTCCTCACCGCCCCTTCCCCACCCAGCTTACCCATTCGGGGTTCCACCTGAGGGCGTCAGAAGCCATTCCCACCGGGGCTGCCCTCGTGCTGCCTCTCAACGGTGGCCTGCCCGACCCGCTACAAGCAGCAGCAACACACGCAGGGGCACAGGGGACAGCAACAGAGTGGGAGAGCGAGGAGGAGGAGGGGCGGGCACATTTGACATCATTGGAGGAAGTGGAGGAGGCGGACAGCCATGTGTCGCCGGCCACGCTGCTATCTAATGATGATGCTTTCCTCTCCCTTGGGATCATCTCCGCCTGCTCCGCCTTTGACCGTGTGCAGGTCGGTACAGAGCGGTGGAGCTAGGTGCCGAGAGGTAAAGGTCGGTTGTGAGTGGTGCATGTCGGTTTGGAGCGGTGGAAGCCAGTTTGTAGCTGTGCGGTTGGGTTGTGAGGGGTGCGGATGGGTCAAAAGGGGTGCAGTTTCGTGGTTGTCGTGGGATTCATAGGGGTTGCCCAATTTTTGTCATTCCCACTGTTCCCATTCCGCCCACACCACCCATTCCCCCATTACCCCACTTTCCCTTGTTTCCCCGCTTACACCCCTTTTCCCCACTCACCACACTCCCCCTCACCACACTCCCCCTCACCACACTCCCCCTCACCACACTCCCACTCACCACACTCCCCCTCACTACCCCCAATGCATGCATCCCTCTACTTCCCCCCCACCCTTGCCAGCTCTACCCGTCATACGGCGCACTCACCCAGAGGGTCTCTCTCCCCGCCCTCTCTCTCCCCCCTCTCTCTCTCCCCCCTCTCTCTTTCCCCACCCTCTCTCTCCCCCCCCCTCTCTCTCCCCCCCCCTCTCTCTCCCCCCCCTCTCTCTCCCCCCCCCTCTCTCTCCCCCCCCTCTCTCTCCCCCCCCCTCTCTCTCCCCCCCCTCTCTCTCCCCCCCCTCTCTCTCCCCCCCCTCTCTCTCCCCCCCCTCTCTCTCCCCCCCCTCTCTCTCCCCCCCCTCTCTCTCCCCCCCCTCTCTCTCCCCTCCCTCTCTCTTCCCCCCCTCTCCCTTTTCTCCACCCTCTCCCTGCACCTCCTACAGCTGTACCCCTCGTACGACACGCTCACTCAGAGCGTCCTCAGTGCAGCGCACGTGAACCCCGACTTCAAGCCATCAGCCTTTATGAAACTGGCTGATCGCGTGCGCACAGCGCTGCTGAAGGAGGTGCTGTGGTGGGGGGAGGGAGGAAATGGCACTCACACAAACACCCCACCCACCCCCCTCTCTCCCCTCTCTCTCCCCTCCCTCTCCCCCCCTTCTTTTTCCACCCTCCTCCCCTCCCCTTTCCCCCCGCATCAGCTCTACCCCTCGTACGACGCGCTCACTCAGAGCGTCCTCAGTGCAGCGCACGTGAACCCCGACTTCAAGCCATCAGCCTTCATGGAACTGGCTGATCGCGTGCACACAGCGCTGCTGAAGGAGGTGCGTGCGGTGAAGCAGGAGGTGCTGTCCACCCTAGTGCGAGAGAAGCTGCTCGCTGCCGCTGTGCGAGCCAAGAGCGGCCGCGGCGTGGGAGGGAGAGGCGGCAAGGCGGAGAGAGGAGGGGTGAAGGGAGGAGGGAAGGGAGTGGTGGGGAGGGAGGGAGAGGCTGGGAAGGAGCAGGAGGGGTGTGGAGGGGGCGTGGTGGATCAGCTGCTGTTTTGGGAGAGGAGAAGGGCTATGAGGCAGAGGTACCGGCAGCGACAGAGGAAGCGAGCCGCTGCCCTGCTGGCTGAACTAGAGGCGGAGAGAGCAGGCGAGGCAGAGGCTGATGGGGAGGGAAGGAGCAGCAAGGGGAGGAAGGGTAGCAAGGGGCGGAAGGGGAAGAAGGGGAGATGGGATGAGGAGGAGGAGGAGGGGGAATGGGAGGACGAGGAGGATGCGGTGGAGGGGTTGTATGTGTATTCGGATGGCAGGATGGACCCTGAGCTGGTGGCGTACTTCAGTGCTGTTGTGCTGCTGGCAGCTGCTGGTCAAAGTGAGTGAGTCGTGCTTGCAAGGTGGCTTTGGGAGCCATGTCCAGGCCAGGGTAAGTGGAAAGTCGTAATTTGAGGCAACTTTCAGGCTGCCTCAAAGCACAGAGGAGGATGCGGTGGAGGGGCTGTATGTGTACTTGGGTGGCAGGATGGACCCTGAGCTGGTGGCGTACTTCAGTGCCGTTGTGCTGCTCGCAGCCACAGCTGCACAGAATTGCTTGCTTGTGTATTGGGTTTACCCCGCTCCCATTCCTTCCTCCCCTCGCCCCTCCAGTGCCGGATGCAATCTCCGTGGCATGTGTGAGCATGGTATATGCGTGGAACCTGGACGGCTTTTCAAAAACCTCAAGAACTCCCTTCCGTCCCTCCTCTCCCCCCGTCCCCTTCCACCGTCATCAGTGCCGGATGTCATCTCCTTGGCTCGTGTGAGCGTGGCATATGCATGGAACCTGGACGGCATCACCACATGCACGTACATGCCGCTGCTCTCCGACCCATCCCACCCGCTCTACATGCACATGCCTCCCGACCCCAACAACCCCTCCGCCTCGCCCCCGTCACCCGGTAACCACCCGGTGGTAACCGCGCTGTCGCTCGCCCTGGACGTCACTGCCAGCAGCCTGCAGCGGCCCATATCGGATCTCATGACAGCAATGATTGCTCTGGATGAGATCGGGCGGCGGCTGATAGAGACAGAGCCCATCTGCCACATGGCGCTGCACTCCGAGATTCTCTCTGAAACCTTGGATAAGGTGAGTGAGAGTTGACTTTTGAGTCGACTCAAAAGTCAACTCGGAGATTCTCTCTGAAACCTTGGATAAGGTGAGTGAGAGTTGACTTTTGAGTCGACTCAAAAGTCAACTCGGAGATTCTCTCTGAAACCTTGAATAAGGTGAGTGAGAGTTGACTTTTGAGTCGACTCAAAAGTCAACTCGGAGATTCTCTCTGAAACCTTGGATAAGGTGAGTGAGAGCTTGGTGTGCCACATGCCCACATTGTGTTGTATGCCCGTGTGATGTGTGGCATTTTTACTTGAGGGATGATGGACGGAGCCCATCTGCCAGCCACATGGCATAGCACCCAGAGATTCTCTCCGAGACCCTGGATAAGGTGAGAGAGGGAGTGAGGCAGGAGAGCTTGTTTGTGGTCATGCCCGTGTTCTGCTGTATGGCCGTGTGAGGTGTGTCACTGGCTTGAGGGCGCATGGAGACGGGGCCCATCTGTCACGGGGTACAGCACCCAGAAATTCTCTCTGAGAACCTGGAAAAGGTGAGAGAGGGAGTGAGGCTGGAGGCCTTTGTAGGTCCTTGCGACGTTTTTGAGAATTCCCAGTCGCTTTTGAGAATTCCCAGTTGCCTTTGAGAATTCTCGGAAGTCGGCACTTTGATCAGGGTGAGGGAGAGAGCTTATTGCTTCTCCCTTTATAAGGTTGGACAGCTTGTGGACAGAACCGTGTTCCTTCCCACTTTCCTCCTACCTTTTCCTTTTTCTTCTGTCCCTGCCTTTCCTTTCCTTTTTTCCCCTCGCTCCTCCCACCCAGGTGTGCACGCCGGCTTTCTTCGCGGAGGCAGCAGCAGTCAAGCCCGTGCTGGCCTTCTCCCCTCCCCTTCACTCTCGCCCCCTCTCTCCATCCTGTCTCTCCTTCCCAGGTGTGCACGCCAGCCTTCTTCACGGAAGCAGCAGCAGTGAAGCCCGTGGTGGCCTTTCCCTCCTCACCTACCGTTCTGGCCTTCTCCCCTCCCCTTCTCTCTCCCCCTCTCTCCCTACTGTGTCCCCCACTCAACACTACCCCTTCCCAGGTGTGCACGCCGGCTTTCTTCGCGGAGGCAGCAGCAGTGAAGCCCGTGGTGGCGTTCCGAGCCAGCAAGCGAGACATCCTCGCCCTCCTCTCCTCCCGCCTCAAAGACTCCTGCTCCGTCCAATACCCCCACGAGGCCCAGACCGCTGCCACCGCCACCACCGCCGCTGCCGCCCTAGGCAGTGGCACGGGAGGGGCAGGAGGAGCAGGGGAGGGAAGGGAGGTGGGGGCGGGGAGGGGAGGGGAGAGGGGGGAGTGGAGTGAGTTGGCGAGGGAGGCAATGGAGGATCTGGATGATGAGGAGTGGCTGGATGAATTCATTCAGTGGATTCGAGAGAACGGCATCCCTGACTTTGCTGCTCCAGGATCCATCTTTCAGGTAAGCTCGCGAGGGAGGGGAGAGGGGGGAGTGGAGCGAGCTGGCGAGGGAGGCGATGGAGGATTTAGATGATGAGGAGCGACTGGATGAATTCATTCAGTGGATCCGCGAGAACGGGATCCCTGACTTTGCTGCGCCAGGGTCCATCTTCCAGGTGAGAAGAACCTTAAAAAACGGAGCCTTGCTATTGTACTGTCTGTTGGGGGACCTCATCTGGATGATAAGGAGCGGCTGGGGGAGTTCATTCAGTGGATTCGCGAAACTGCGTTCCTGATTTTGCCATGCCGGAGGGGACCATCTTCCAGGTGAGTGAAGCTTATCACTGGAGCCTTGTTATTGTTTGTTAGGGGACCACTGTTGGGTTGAAAGGAGCGGCTGGAGGAGTTCATGTATTGGGATTCGTGAGAACGGCATTCTCGACTTAGCCATGCCAGGCAGGAACGATCGTCCACCCACCGGGGTCACCTTTTCCCATTTGCCCTTCCCTCCCATCGCCCCATTTCCTCGTCCCCCCGTCGCCCCATTTCCCCTTCCCCCTATCGCCCCATTTCCCCTTCCCCCCGTGCAGCTGGTGTATCGCAACTCCAAGCCATCTGGCGCAAAGGCTGTTGCTGACACCTGGTTGAAGCCCAGGTGCGTTCAGGTGGAAGCCCAGGTGGTTCGAGGCAGAAGGGTAAGGTATTAAGGTGTGCTTGGACAACTTAGTACCCTAGTACCTTACCTTGTGCACATGGGGGGGGGAGCAACTAGAAGCTGTGCGTATGTCAGCACTCCTCCCAACCCAAGTGCCCTCTGCCAATGTGGTAACATGGTAACATGACAACTTGAATTGAAACAGCTGGGTAACATGGTTAGATTGTAACACCATAACTTGGGAATATGGTAACGTGGTAACATGCCAGCAAGCAATGCAACGTGCAAAGAAACCCATTTTCTCTCCCCCCACTACAGGCGGCAACTCACAGTGTATGCAGTGCGGGGCAGGCGCGCAAGCAGGCAGGGGAGCACATGATGAGCATCCCACGGGCGCTCTTCCTCGCCACAGACAAGATGCTGCAGGACGGAGTGCCCTACCAGGGCCCTGTCTGGTCCACCGGAATGGCTGCTGCATGGCTGTGCCGTGAGATGGTGAAGGGCAGGGAGTCCTTCTGGTGGCCATACCTGCAGTTCCTGCCTCCCTCTGTTGGCCTGCCTTTCTTCTCCAAGCCGGAAACACTGATGGAGCTCGACTCACCTGCTTTTGTTCAGAAGGTGTGTGGGTGGATGCGTGTGTGTGTGTGTGTGTGTGGATGTGGGTGTGCGCTGGGTTAGGGGAGGAAGGGAGGGGAGTGGCTGGTTGTGGGTATGTGTGTGTGTGCGCGAGCGGGCGCGCGCGCGCGCACGTGTGTGTGTGTGTGTGTGTGTGTGTGTGCATGTGTGTGTGTGTGTGTGTGTGCATGTGTGTGTGTGCGTGTGTGTGTGTGTGTGGGGGGGGGGGTGTGTGTGTATGCACACGTGTGCTTGTAGGTGTGTGATCGTGTGTGTGTGTGTGCACGTGTGTGTGTGATCGTGTGTGTGTGTGTGCGTGTGCGAGTGCGTGTGTGCGTGTGTGTGTGTGTGTGCGTGGGGGGGGGGGGTGTGTGTGTATGCACACGTGTGCTTGTAGGTGTGTGATCGTGTGTGTGTGTGTGCACGTGTGTGTGTGATCGTGTGTGTGTGTGTGCGTGTGCGAGTGCGTGTGTGCGTGTGTGTGTGTGTGTGTGTGGGTGTGTGCGCGTGGGTGTGTGTGAGTGTGCGTGTGTGTGTGGGTGTGTGCGCGTGGGTGTGTGTGTGTATGCGCGTGTGTGCATTTACGTGTGTGATCTTGTGTGTGTGTGCATCCCTCTCTCCCCCACTTCCTTCCCCACTCCTTACCTCCCTCCCCACACAACACCCCATCTGGACGACCATCGCCAAGAATATTCCTGAGCCACCTCCATCCCTATCCATCCCCCTCCACCCTTCTACACCCCTCTCCACCCCTCCCCCTACCCTCCTCCATCCCTCTCCTACCCCCCTCCACCTCTGTGCATCAGATATCAACCCATCTGAACAACTACCGGTCGGAGTACAACCGCATTGCACCGCACTTGCGTGCCAACACCACTTTCTTCGAGTACCTGTGGGCCGTCTCCATCATCAACTCCCGCGCCTTCGGGGACCAGACGCGCGGTAACATGGTTACCATCACGGTGGAAGGCAAGGACCAGGAGGTGCCTCTGGCGAGCGGGCCCTTAGCGCTCGTGCCGATAGCGGAGCTGCTGGACCATGAAGACATGTTCCAGGCTCAGTATGATGTGAGTAAATCATATGGGGCATGGCGCAGTGGTGGATGGTAACAGCATAACCGTCACGATGGAGGGCAAGGACCAGGAGGTGCCTCTGGCGAGCGGGCCCTTCAGCGCTCGTGCCGATAGCAGAGCTGCTGGATCATGAAGACATGTTCCAGGCTCAGTACGATGTGAGTGGACTTGGATGTTGAGATGTGGGGGGTTGAGAGGAGGAGGTGTCTTATGCGACATGATCCGAGGAGCTGCTGCTGGGCTATGTCTTCATGCCCTGTCATGCCCCCTCTCCACGCCCTTCTCCCCTTCTACTCCCAACTCTCCTCCCCTTCTCCTCCACTTCTTCTCCCCCTCTCCTCCCCTTCGCCTCCCCTTCCCCTCCCCCTCTCCTCCCCTTCTCCCCACCTTCTCCTCTCCTCCTCCACCCAGATTGGAGCATCACAGTTTGACTTCATAGCTTTGATGCCCTTTGCCAGGGGCGACGAGCTGTTCTCCTCTTCTCCACCCCCTCTCCTCCCCGTCTCCTCCTCTTCTCCACCCCCTCTCCTCCCCGTCTCCTCTTCTCCTCCCTTTTCTCCTCCCGTCTCCTGCCCCTCTCCTTTCCCTCTCCTCCCCCCTCTCCTCCCCTCACTCTCCTCCTCTCCTCCTCCGTCCAGATTCAAGCATCACAGTTTGAGTTCATAGCTTTGATGCCATTCACCAAGGGAGCCGAGCTCTTCACGTCGTACGGCCCCAAGGTGAACGAGGAGCTGCTGCTGGGCTACGGCTTCGTGCTGGACGGAAACAAGCAGGAGAACGTGCTGCTCTTCCGCACGCTGCTAGATGCAGTGAACCTGGTCGCCCTCGTCCTGCACCGCGGCGAGTGGGTGGTAGGCCCGGGTGGCTTGGGTGGGGCGGCTGGGAAGGGCGGCAAGACAGGGGAGGCTAGGGATGTGAGTGAGTGCCACGAAGGGATTGAGGGAGAGGGAGAGGAAGAGGAGGAGGGGAAGAAACGGACATGTGCAGCGAAATACGGGGATGAGGCTGTGGAAGGTGGTGGTGCGGCTGTGAGTGCAGAGGCGGGCAGCAAAGGGGATATGGAGCTGAAGCAGGGCTTGGCACGCATCTGGGGAGAAGGGCTGGGTGACTGGCTGGTCAACGAGGGTGCTGATGGTGATGCGGATGGTGATGATGATGATGATGATGATGATGATGATGATGATGATGATGATGATGATGATGATGATGATGATGATGATGATGATGATGATGATGATGATGATGATGATGATGATGATGATGATGATGATGATGATGATGATGATGATGATGATGATGATGATGATGATATGGTTATGACTACGAGGAGGACAACGATGAGGAGGATGATGATGAAGAAGCCGCCGGGAGCAGGTGGGGCAAAAGCAAAGTGCAGGAGCGAGGGAAGAAGCGGAAGAACAGCAACAGAAACAAGCACAAAAACAAGAAAAAGAGCAAGGGGAAGAGCAAGAGCGGCAGCAGGCATGGAAAGCAGAAGCAGAAGAAGAGCAAGAAGCAGCAGCAATCAGACTCCCCAACAGCCAAGCTTCTGCGAGTGCGGCAGGCGCTCTGGCGGGTGGCAGCCAAGGCAGTAGAAGCAATCGCCAGGGAGCGCGCCAAGGCAGAGAAGCAGTTCGTGCACGTGGGAGCCATGCCTCAGTACTTGGCTCGGCAGGAGATCAGGAGGGAGAGCGAGGCAGACGAGGTGAATGGCGGAGTGGAGGTGCTGGCAGGGAAATACAAAGACCCGAGTTTTGGCGTGTCCGTGTGGCGTGGGGGGATTGTGGAGCCGAATCTCATGGCGGTGTTTGCTGCTGTGTGGTACTACCTCAAGCACCATTCAGGTGAGACTCGCATGGGAGTGTTGGTTGAATGAGGGGAGGAGGGGATGGGGGGGGGACGAGGGTTGAGAGAGGCAAGCAACGGGGTGTGTCTGTAGTTAGGAGTAGCAGCAGGGGGTTGGAGGGAGAGAGCGAGGCGGACGAGGTGAATGGTGGGCTGGAGGTGCTGGCAGGGAAGTACAAGGACCCGAGTTTTGCCGTGTCCGTGTGGAGAGGTGGGATCGTGGAGCCGAACCTGATGGCGGTTTTTTCTGCTGTGTGGTACTATCTCATGCACCAGTCAGGTGAGAGCTGCTGGGTAAGCTTCGAACGATGAGTTTGAATCTGAGAGTCTATCTTTCTGGCATTCCTGTGTGGAGCCGAGCCGAGCCGAACCTGTCGGCTGTGTTCGCTGCTGTTCGGACTACATGGAGCGATGATTGGGTGTTAGGGTTTTTTTTTTGAATTATTGTGTTCCTGATAGTACATTCAAGGGAGTGTCCAAACGTGTTGGCTGTGTTCGCTGCACTGTGGTACTACCTCAAGCACCTTCCAGGTGAGTGAGATTTATTGCTTTCTGCCCTCTGTTACTCAGTTAACATCCAAGGGAGTGTCTGAATGTGATAGCCTAATCCTACATCCTCCCCTTCCCCTGTATTCTCTCGCCCTCTCTCCTCCAGAGCCCCCGGCCGACATGGCCAGTTCGGTGCTGTACCTGGGGTGGGCTGTGAGCAACAGTGGGTGTCGGGACGCACATGTTGATGGATAGCCTAGTCACGTTTCAACTCCTTCCCCTATACGTTCTCTCGCCCTCTCTCCTCCAGAGCCCCCGGCCGACATGGCCAGTTCAGTGCTTTACCTGGGGTGGGCCGTGAGCAACAGTGGCTGTCGGGACCCACATGTTGATAGCCAAATCATGCATTCACCCCTTACTCTTTCTCTGCGCTCTCCCCTCCCTCCGTCAGAGCCCCCATCGGACATGGCCAAGTCAGTGCTGTATCTGGGCTGGGGAGTGAGCAACAGCGGCTGTAGGGACGTGGCCTCTCCCTTCTCCAACGTGCTGCCCGCCCTGCAAGCAGCGGCTGACACCGTTCGTCTGCTAGCGCAGGCGCGGCTGCAGCAGATGCCGACCAGCATAGAAGAGGACGAAGCGATCCTGAGGGAGCTGGAGCGGTGCAAGAGCGGCGGGAAGATGGGGGCGGGTGGTGGGGAGGGGGTGAAGGGTGGGAAACTGGGGAAGGAAGGAAAGAAGAAGCCAGCACAGAGCAAGCAGCAGCAGAAGGCGAAGCTGACGAGCCTGGAGGAGGAAGTTTCCGCAAAGCGACTCAGCCGGCGCCGGCGCCGGCGTGCTGTTAGCGAGGGGAGGATCAGCGATGACTACAGCGATGATGACAACAACGAGGGTGACAACACCGAGGAGGAAACGGACCTAGAGCTCGGGAGCAGGAGCGATGAAGAGGAGGCGATAGATTGTGATGCGTGGGCGCGAGAGCAGGCCAGTGGGGAGAGCGAGGAGGAAGGCGGCGGGTCGGAGAGCGGGAATGGCAGCGGCGGTAGTAGTGGGGGTGCGAAGAGGCTTACTGTGATGCGGGTGCGGTGTGGGTGTGAGGAGTTTAGGGCGGAGGCGGATGAGCGGATGGTGGCGGTGCGGTTCCGGAAGGCCAAGAAGGCGGTGCTGAAAGAAGTGGTGGACCGGCTCAGAAAGGCGTGCCCTTCCTCCCCCACTGCTTTCCTCTGAAATGACGTTTGAGCCGACTCAAAAGTCACTTCGTTTTGAGTCGACTCGGAAGGCTACGGTAAGAAGGTGGTGATGAAAGAGGTGGTGGAGTGGCTAAAAAAGGCATGCCCTGCCTCCACCACTGCTTTTCTCTGAAAATCCAAGTCCATGGCCTCTTGTGATTCCACACCTGATTTCCCTGTGGTAATCCCTTCCTGAATTCCTTGTAGTACACCGCACCCTGTCATGGGGGTTCGTTGGTAGCTGTCCACCTGTGGTCTTTGTTTTGCGCGGAGACTGTGCCAGCCAGCTGGTAGGCATGGGGGGGAGGAGCATCGGAGTGCACTGTGCGGCGAGCTGGCAGAGCCACTGTTTGTTGTCGCTGCCTTGTTTCACCTGTCTCTGATGCAGCTCACCGTGCTTGGTCGTCTGGCCGCATTGCTACCACTAGATAGTGATAACCCAATTTAGCGCTGCTTTCTACATAGAACTTTCAATAAGTGTTTGCAACAATCACCACACCAATACTTGTGTTTTGACAGCTGGAGCTGCCCACATCCCGCTTTGGATACCACCAGAAACACCTGGAAACATAAAAATATGATAATTAGCAGGAGACATACCAGTAACACAATCTCATGTTCCTTGTACTTCGACGCATCATCCCCACCAACCGATTTGCACACCACGCCTTCATCTTCCCGCTTTATGAGACAGCCCACAATGCTTGAGCTGAGCATGGCTGCTTTTTCACCTCCCGAAATTAGGGTTTAGTCAATGGCATCAGCTCGCGTGACCTGCTCCACCAACTCCCTCACAATCAGCCGCTTCGGCGGGAACGATAACCTCTGCTTCAGCTCAGGCATCCGCCACTGGCGCTGCGAATGCGGCAGCCCGACGCGCCGACGAGCCGCACTCGCAGGCCGACGCGCCGCACTGACAGCGGAAGTTGTCACTGAAGGGTGCGGTTGGCGCCTGAGTTAGTAATGCTGCCGTAGTCGATGCTCAACTCTTCGCCTGGCGCGATGTCCCGCAAAGCCACCACCGTCACCAAGTCTTCTTCCATTCCGCAGTTTGGGTCGCTCGAGTGGTTAATGAGTTCGGGCGTCTCGGGCCCACGCGTCGGATCTGGTTTCTGCTCGTTTAACGACTCGGAGTCGTTTATTTGCAGCGAGAGCTGTCGCGTGCGCTCTTCGCCGGCAACCTTGCCGGCGAAAACGAGAACCCGTTCCCCGCGTCCAATGCTCGCCAAAGCAAACAGCCCCTTGGAGCCGTCCGCGTCGCCCTTGTAGCGCGGAACCACGCGCGGATCGTACCACCCCGACTCGGCCATCTTCCGCTCGATATAGGCCGAGCAGTGGCCGGCGTTTCGCTGCTGCCAGTCGCGCGAGCGCCACTCGGAAAATTTGAGCGTGCCGCGGCAGCACGTGGCGCCGCAGCGGCAGAGCAAACCGGCGTGCATGCTGCCCTCCGTTTCCGTGGATGCATAGTCGTACGTGATTTGCTCGCCGGGTTGAATGTCTCGCAGGGCGACCATGCAACGTGGGTTAATGTACCACGAGTTGGGGTCGCACGAGTGGTTGTAATAGAGGCTTGGGTCCTCGTCGGGGTCGGTTGTTGTGTCGTACACGTCGTCCTCGACCATGTACGAATATCGAATCATGATCTCGCGCTTCTCCTTATCGGGTACCGCCAATAAGTCATGAGCGTGGTAGTACACTCGCCGCTCTTCTTCCTCAATGTCCCAATCGCAAACGATCTCGCCTTTTGCGATTAAGCTGCTCGCGAAGAGCCCCCGGCATTGGAAACCGTAGAGCTCGTGCTCTTGCACGACCATGTGCGGGTGGAGACCCATGATGCAGGATCAGGAACGAGTGGGGTGGTACAACTAGACGTGCAGTCTGATAATTGGGAACGCTCTGAAGTTGAATATACTTACTGAGAAATGTAATGTACGTGTACTGTATTATATCGCTGCTAGATCGTCTCGACGATCGGTATGATGTTGAGGTGAGGGGATCTCGGGGGTCTCGACGGGTGTCGGGGGCGGGCATCTCGAGGTGATGGAAACAGGAATTTCCCAAGGGAAGAGATCATCGAGAAGCCGAACATTAGCAGAGAAGTGGCCGAATTAGGGCCGCGTGAGTCGCACCCCTAGTACTTAGGTCCGAACCTGCGTACGAGCCTTTTTTTTTCGAGCCATAACAAATATAAACCCCTATTGGATGGCATGATTTTAGGGAGAAATCAACCCTAAACACTCTGCGACAAGGTGTTTAGGGTTGACTTGTTTCTAAACAAAATTCTGTCCGCTTGTTGGGTGTTTAGGCTCGAAAGTTGTTCAGGCTAGTTGCGGCGCTGGTTCGGCACTGCTTCGAGGGGGTGCGACTCACACGGCCCTAATTCGGCCATCTCTCTGCTATTACTCGGCCCTAATTTGGTCATTTCCGATTTCCCAACCACTCGCGGGTTCTGTGGCGGTGGAGAAGTGTGAGATGGCAACTACATGGGAGTTTTACGCCAAGGCGTTACATTGGTAAGAGACGTTAGGGGAACAGAAACACGGTGTTCTTCTGCCTCAGAAGCACGGCGGCACTAACTACTGTTACTGTAATGATCTATCACTGGCTGCAGGATCCCGCAAATGACAGTAATCCACCTGTCACATACTGGTGGAGAACCACATCTATCTTCTGGACAGCTGTCACCTCAGTACTCAGGGCGTCCCCTCCCCACCCCGCGTTTGCCCGCCATAGATGGAAATTCGGACACATAAGAAGTAATCTTTTGTTTCTTGTATATATATGGATATGCCCCAAATTTGATGTACTGGATTTTCTGGACGAAACTATTTCTTTTTGAAGGAGATGCTTCGGATACATCATTCAAACCCTAACTTCCAGAAATGCTTTGGCAGAGTATGCAGACAGTTGTCATTTCAGTCGCGTGCCATTTAATTCAGCAAACAAATTGAAATCCTTGAGCAAAAAAACAACAGTCGGGGTAACTTTAGAAGGAAAAGTAGGCGGGCAACAGCTGGTGTCCAAACTTCAGATGGCGGGAAAATGTAGGGACGCCATCTCACATGTGACTGTGATGAAAACACTGTGCTGTACCAAGTGTACCCCTTTGCCCTGTCAACTGTATATTCCAGGGGGGCAACTTCAAGCCGGGTTTTCGAACGAACCTGGACGGGGTCAGCAGCAGCTTGGAGCGAGCCGCTGGTGTTAGCAAGCGGACTCAGTCACATTCGAGGAAACTACGACAAACAACGGAACGGACTGTCATAAAAAATTTCAGGGAACACGGGCAGCCACTGGTGCAAGCAGTCTCAGGTCCCATTTGAGTGTGTTGGACGAACAAGGGGTCTGAGATATTTCGACCTCCGTAAGGACGTGGACCGGATCGAGGCGATCTGAGGCTGATTAGAGGCGACCTACATTCTCAACCGTGGGATGAGAGAAGATGGATGGTTGGGAATGTGGGTCGGTTCTGGTCATTGCGATCAGCCTCAGATCGCCTCGATCCGTTCCACGTCGTAAGCACCCCGCTTCTGGCACTCGAGTTTTGATTAAGACAACGTACAGAAAGTTCATACTGACCGTTAGTGAACACGCCCTTAAATTCACCACACCGCGATATGGTCCTAAGATTTTGTAACCGCTTATCTCACACATGCGAGGTGTGGTGTGGAGAGGTTGAGCACACCTGTAATATCTTTTCTGCCAATAGTAATTTGCGGGATCCATGTGGTCGATGTTACAGTTCTGTAGACCACGGATGCCAACGTGTACACACTGGAAACTGTAGGGTACACCTTCGATTTGTATTCCGTGCAGGCGAACAACGTGCGGATCATTTTCATCCTGGCTCTCAATGGTCTACACCTAGTCCGCGGTATTTTAACCGCCGCTATCTTAACCGCGCGAGAGTACTTCTCTTTGGTCAGACTTGTTTAAACGAGTAGTTCGAAAATTAATGAGGGTATAATCTAACATTCCCTTCGCGAGATCCGGCAGTTAAAACACTGCCAATGCCGATATTCCCCCTATTTCGGAGCACTAAGTGTGCGCGTGGATGAGTAGTTTGTGTGTACCTTTTCCGGCTAAGTAAGAGGAACAAAATCCTCCTGAGTTACATTAGGGCCAAAGTACACTTACCTAAGAAGCGCTGACTTCCAGTTTTGTTTTTTCCTTCCCCCGTGAAAATCAGGGCAAGAATTCGAACAGCTCAGGACTCAAAGTTTTGGTCCCAGGGACTTCGACAGGCCTGACCCAGACACCATGAGGCCTGACTGCGACGCGGTGCTGCTTGAGGGGTCGAATGCTGGAACGTTGTGTTTTCGTCCGAGTGGTAGATATCTCAGGGGAATCCTGGGCCATTCGTGCCTTCGGTGACAAAGCACTTGGTTGTGACGCATCGGCACACAATAAACTGTTGGGACCTGATGTACATGGCCCACCCATGATTTCAGAGCCTGCCTGCCCACAATTTCAAGCGCACCGTCCTATTGAAGGCTATCTTACACGCCGTGGTCATTCCCAGGAAAGAAAAAAGAAGCAAATAATTGCCACACGTCAATGATTCATTGGTTGTCTCCGTTCCCTGTTTTCTGCAAGATCTTTGGTAATCCCATCGGCCGTCTCACAGGTCCCCTACCCGAATTAATTACTCGGAAGGAAGAAACTCTAGATTCCATCAACGAGATGCCTCTGCCTGTTGTCTTAGTTGTGCTCCAGGAGAGGCATTCAATGCCTCCAGTATAACGCCGAGTTATAATCAGTCTCAGCGACGAGGAACTTCAGCGCATTCCCACCTCGCACAACATACCACCCACATTCCATCAACGAGATACCAACAGCGCGCTCTCGCACAACATACCACCCTGCCCACCCGTTCCTCAGCCCAACAGGCTGATCCTCAGCATGGGTCTCCACCCGCACATCGTCGTGCAAGAGCACCAGCTCTACGGTTTCCAATGCCGCGGGCTGTTCGCGCACAGCTTTATCGCACAAGGCGAGGTCGTTTGCGATTGGGACGAAGGAGAGATTCGCGGGTACCACGCTTCAGACTTATCGGCGGAACCCGATAAGGAGAAGCGCGAGACAATGATTCGCTACGCGTACATGGTCGGTGACGACTTGTACGACACGACAGCCGACCCCGAGGACGATCCGAGCTTTTATTACAACCACTCGTGCGACCCCAACACATGGTACGCTAACCCGCGTTGCATGGTCGCCCTGCGAGACATTCAGCCGGGCGAGCACGTCACGTACGACTATGCCTGCACGGAGACGGAGGGTAGCATGCACGCCGGCCTGCGCTGCCGCTGCGGCGCCGCGTGCTGCCGCGGAACGCTCACATTCACCGAGTGGCGCTCGCACGACTGGCAGCGACGGTTCGCAGGGCACTGCTCGGCTTATATCGAGCGGAAGATGGCCGAGTCGGGGTGGTACGACCCGCGCGTGGTGACTCGTTACAAAGGTCGCGGCGCGGACGCCTCCAAGGGGCTGTTCGCATTGGCGAGCATCCGACGTGGCGAACCGCTTCTCGTCTTCGCCGGCAAGCTTGTCGGCCTCGATTATCTCCTAGGAAGTGACGAACGCACGCGAGAGCTCTCGCTGCGAGTCAACGACCACCTCTGGCAGGTGCCGGATCCGAAGCGTGGGCCCGAGACGCCCGACTTTATCAACCACTCGTGCGACCCTAACTGCGGACTGGAAGACTCGGTGACGATAGTGGCCATGCGGAGCATAGCGCCGGGCGAAGAGTTGAGCATTGACTACGGTAGCGCGAACGCAGGCGTCGTCCGCACCAGCAGCGATAATTTCAGTTGCCACTGCGGCGCGTCGATCTGCCGCGGGGTAGTCACGTGCGACGATTGGCGGCTGCCCGAGCTCCGGCAACGACTATGGCCGTTCTTCCCGCCGTTCATCAAGCGGCTGATCGTGAGAGAGTCGGAGAAGTCGGACTTGAAGCGGTCTGAGAGTGATGAGTCATGCGAGTCGATCGAAGGCGATGAACTGGCCTTCACCACGAAGATGAAGGTTCCGGCTTCAGCTGCTTGGGTGTGAAAAAACTGAGTGAAACAGGGGAGGATGTTGTGTGAGGATTTTCGATGGTCTGCTCTTCACCGCCTGAAAAGCATTGCATTCGCACGAAATCAGGTTGGTTTCAATGTCGGCTGGTATTCTAGTGACTAACCAGATCATACGGTACGGTATGCATGCAACATACAACACCCCAAGTGACATGTCTAGAAATTGATTCATTAGTAACGGAGATGTATGTCTCGGTATGAAAGCAAATTTTAAGTACAAATTTCTGAACAGTATGCAAGTTTGATGCTGTACTCAGAGGTGGGGAGAACAGAGATTCGGGGTGCGGTATTGGGTGTGGGTAGGTGGGTAGTATGGAGGGATGACAGTAGGGGGTGTAGTGAAAGAGATTCCCAAGCCTACTTCCCCACTGACTGCTATGTAGAACAAAACTAGGGGGTAAATAGTCTCGGGTTTGGGGGCCAAGCCTTAGAGCCAGTTTCCCTGTGAGGTGGCATTTCACTTCAGGGAAATAGAAGCCTCTGGCACAAATAAAGCTTACGTAAATGATTTGTTCTCCCAATTACCATTTGCGTTTACATTTGCTCAGAGGTATTTTCTGCTAGCATACTAGAGAAAGCACTGGATTTGTTTTTTCTCAGATCCTCGGGTGCTCCAAACTCAGTGAGTTGCCCAAGTTCCAAGACAAGAACCTGAGAAAAGGGAATTGATTTTGGATGAACCAGAAAATATAAGTTTTTTAGCAGGTCCGACGTGTGCACCAAGGGAGGACACGCGTAAGGAGGCGTGGGGTGTGCGTGCGTAGGGTGTTGGCACGAAGGTGTGCGCACATGCACTCACAGACGTTGGCATGAAGGTGTGCGCACATGCACTCACAGACGTTGGCATGAAGGTGTGCACACATGCACTCACAGACGTTGGCATGAAGGTGTGCGCACATGCACTCACAGACGTTGGCACGAAGGTGTGCGCACATGCACTCACAGACGTGGGCATGATGGGTGTGCGCACACACATACATGGACGTGAGCAAGGGGCACATTCAACACTCTTCTGACTTGCCTGGTCGTAATCAAGAACCGTGGAGAGCCGGTGTGCAATGGTGATGACGGTGCTGTGCTTGAATGACTCCCGCAGGATGGATTTGATCGCTGCATCGCTCTCCCCATCCATGCTCGCTGTCGCTTCATCCATCAGCAACACGCGTGTTGATGCCAGCAACGCTCTGTATGGAAAACAAATACCAGGAACAAGAAGCAAGCAGAATATGTACTGCATCATAACTGCGCGTTTCGGCCAATACACAGTCCTGAGACACAGATAAGACCTGCACTGTGATTGGCCCAACGCATTCCCCTTGGGCGTACCTTGCGAGGCAGAGCAGTTGCCTCTGCCCCAGGGAGAGGTTCCCCCCGCCCTGAGCCAGGGCACCCTCTAACCCCCCCAGCAGCCCCGCCACCAGCGGCTTTAGGTGCACCGTTGCCAGCACCGACCACAGGGCCTCGTCACTGTGCTGCCTGTGATGGGGCATGGAGGGTTGGGGGGTGAAGTGCGGGATGGGAGGGTACCTTTTAGCTGCACCGTTGCCAGCATCGACCACAGGGCCTCGTCACTGTGCTGGCTGTCAGGGGGGTTGGGAGGGATGAAGGGGAGGATGGGAGGGAACGGGGGGGATGAAGCGGGGTTTCGGAGGGTGAAAGTGAACAAGAGATCGAGTGAGTGACTGAGAGTACACATGTGAGGGACAGTGAGAAGATGTACAGCTGGACATACGCCACAGAAAGGGCACGGAGTTTCAACAGCGTCCCAAATTCCTGGTCAGAGAGAATCATGGTCATTGTGAGTAGCCATACCCCAGGGGATCAAGGTTGAATCGCAATGACTGGCTAAAGAGAACCGGCTCTTGAGGAATGGCCACCACCTGCAACAGGGGAGACCGTTGGAAATCAAACTCAGAAGTTTTAGTCAGATTATGCTTGTAAACTTCGGGCGAGTTATCCAACAATTGGACGGAAAGGCAACTGGTTGCTTACATTGCTTCTCAGGGTGGTGAATGGCAGAGATGCAATGTCCACATCATCAATGTAGAGATGTTTCCTTAAGACTTGTGAGTCGCTTTTGAGAATTCCCAAAACTCACAAGTCAGCTTCTAAGGCGCGGCAGAAGCCCACCTTGCTTCGCAGGGTGGCGAGGGGCAGCGATGCAATGTCCACACCATCGATGTGAATGCTCCCCGAAGACGCTTCCACCAACCGCAGCAGCGCGAGCATGAGGGTGGATTTTCCTGCACCTGTTGTGTTGAGGCGTGGCACACACACACGTAGACAACACACAACAGCTAGCGCTGTCTTAAGCCTTGCTACAGAATCTCAGAATGCATCCATGCCGAGTGTACTGAGATCACGTTTGAGATCTCTGAGAAACAAGGAAGCATTTTCCTCCTTGATCCAGCCCCAATGATGCTATGTTGGATCACAGAGCCAAACCTACAGATCGCCTCACCTGTTCGCCTTACCACACCTCACCTGTTCGCCCCACCACACCGCACTTCTCTCCCCCTGCGAGCTGAAAGCTCAAGCTGCGCAGCACTGCCAGCCCTGAACTGCCATACCGCACTGTCAGCTGCTCCACTCGCACTGCCCCTGCTGACGGCCACGAGGGGCAAACGGCGCTTCTGCTGTTCCTCTCCTCCTCCTCCTTGCTGTTTGGTGCTGCATCAGTGGCTTGGCAGTGGGTGAAGGGCGGATTGCGAGAGAATAGTGGCTTGATGATGTTGTCCATCTTAAAGGACAGGCGCCTGATTGCTGTTTGCAGTGCTCCGAACAGCAAGCTGGGTACGGAGGATTTGGTGGTGGGGCCTTCCTGCTGCTGCTGCTGCTGCTGCTGCTGTTGTCGTTGCTGCTGCTGCAGCTGCTGCCACTTGTTGTGCTGCTGATGCTTGGATTTACTTTTGGCAGGTGTAGGCTCTTCCCCTGGCAGCGTGGTGTACTCGAGTGTGCGCTCAACACTCGTGAACTGGCATGGACGGGGTGGGGTGTCAGAGGGCGGGGAGGCAACAATGCAGGTTCTAGAGGCCCCTCAAGGTGCGGACTCTTCACCTGGCAGCGTGGTGTACTCGAGTGTGCGCTCAACACTGGTGAACTGCGATGGACGGGGTGGGGTGTCAGAGGTGCAGGGATGAAACAATGCAGGTTATTGAGTTAGGCAAGTGCAAGATGGACGTGTCCCCTGCGGTTCTCGCAACGTGTGTTTTTTGAGAATTCTAAAAAAACACAGAATTCTAAATAAAACACAGAATTCTAAAAAAACACAGAATTATAAAAAAACACAGAATTCTCAAAAAACACAGAATTCTAAAAAAACAAAGAATTCTCAAAAAACACAAGATGGACGTGTCCCCTGCGGTTCTCGCAACCATATCAAGCATGAGAATGGGATGTGGAGATCGAGCATGCATCATCATCAAGCTGCTTCACGTCACATAAGAGGTAAGAGAGCACAAGGGTGTTTGCCTCTCTAGTATCTATCCCATGGGTGCATGAGAATGTGATGTGAAGCGTCACATAAGACGTAAGAGAGCAATAGAGTGTTTGCTTCTCCATCAGCACACGGTGCGGAAGGAGTGAACGGTGCAGCACACCATGAACGAAGAAGTCGTGTTTTGAGTCGACTCAAAACACGAGGGAGTGAACGGTAGAGCACACCATGAACGAAGGAGCACGTTCCTGGTTCCCACCCCACCACGGTGCTCCTTTGTTAATGGTGCACTTGCCTCACTTCCCTCACACCCATGAGCATCGCAACAATCGCTCGCACCCTGGTCCCTTGCCTCTACCATGTTCTCCGGCTCTGATTCTTTACATGTTCCCTCAAACTTTGGCTCATTACACACGGTCCCTTGCCGAAGCTCGCACCCTGGTCCCTTGCCATTACACACGGTTGTTTACATGTTGGGAAGTTACTGGCTTTCAGAGAAGAATCAAAAGCTTCCTCGCCTCACCGTGTCCCTTCGCCTCGTCTCATCCTGTCCCTTCGCTTCACCCTCTCCCTCCCTTCGCTTCACCCTCTCCCTCTCTTCGCTTCACCCTCTCCCTCCCTTTGCTTCACCCTCTCCCTCCCTTCGCTTCACCCTCTCCCTCCCTTCGCTTCACCCTCTCCCTCCCTTCGCTTCACCCTCTCCCTCCCTTAGCTTCACCCTCTCCCTCCCTTAGCTTCACCCTCTCCCTCCCTTCGCCTCACCCTCTTCCCTCGCCTCAAAGTATACCGAGAAGTTTTCTGTTTACGATGTTCTCTCCCTGTCACCGTGTTCGTTCTCTCCCCTCACCTCCTCCCTCACCGTGTTCTCCAGCTCAACGCCATACTGCAGCGCCCACCGTAACGAGTCTGGTTTTGAGGCGCCTCAAAACTCGTCTCAGTTCACGCGGTTTTTATATGGGGAATATCTACATTGCATGGAGGTGTGCACGTAACTTGCAAAAGTTACTCGTGCGAGCGAAGTTTCCAAGGCTTATCGATAGCCCTGACGAAGACACCACGGAAGGCTGACACTTGTAACCTTGGGTTTTTACCCAGTGCTGTGTTGGCGAATGCCCATTGTTAGGCAATCTGGGTAGATGGGAACCTTGAATTCTGTTTGCGGTGTAGGTTGATTACTTAGCCTATGCCTAGCTGTTGGATATCTTTGTGTTCAGAAGCACTGATGAAGGCTTGGCGGGTTCTCCCGCCTTGCCGAAACATGTTTGCGACCTGTTCTGATTGAGTGATTTCAGTTCTTGCGATCAGAGTTCTCTTAGCTAGGGATTTTTTTACTCTTTTTCTTACTTGCTAAAGCGTTTCACTAGTACTGTTGCCCTTCCACCATGAGTGAGAACGCCGTACTGCAGCGCCCACCATAACGAGTCTGGCAGCCTTTCTGTCCCTCACTTTCCCCGCACCCCCTCCAACCAACCAACCTCCCCTCACCGTGTTCTCCAGCTCAACGCCGTACTGCAGCGCCCACCGCAGGGAATCCAGCACCCTTCCCTTGCCTCACTTCCTTCACAACAATAAACATCACAACCATTGCACCCCTGCCGCCCTCCCTCCTCCCCTCTCCCCCCCCGCCGCCCCCCCCCCAAACATCCCTCCCGCCTCTCACCCTCTCCTCCCCCCTCACCGTGCTCTCCACCTCCACGCCATACTGCAGCGCCCAGCGCAGGGAGTCCAGCACCCTTCCCTTGCCTCACTTCCATCCCACCCATAAACATTACAGCCAGCGCAACGCACCCTTGTCTCTCCCCCCTGCCTCACCCTCCCCACCCTCTTCAGTACCGTGTTTTCGAGCTCCACGCCGTATTGCAGCGCCCAGCGCAGGGAGTCCGAAGACTTCCCTTCCCTCCCTTCCCTCACCCCTGGCTGTTCCCCAATCCCCACCCTTCCCCCCCCCTCTCACCGTGTTCTCGAGCTCCACACCATACTGCAGCGCCCACCGCAGGGAGTCCGGCAGCTGCAGCAGATAAGACAAAGCCAGTGCGGCCATGGCGGGCGGCAGCGAGTGGCGCAGGGCCACGGCGGCGAGGGCGGCGGAGAGCAGGGCGGCGGCAACGAGGAGGTCCAATCGGAAGCCCAGCCACTCCCACGTGGCGATCCAGAATAGGTGCGGGGTGGCATTGGCGGTGACGTGGCGCAGGAAGAGGCGGTGGAAGCGGCGCTGCTGGGAAAAGGCTCGGATGGTTGGGAGGCCCTGAGAGGGGGGAAGAGGGGTAGGGAGTAAAGATTTCGTGGCAAGTTTGGGAAGCGCTGCGGGGAGAAGGGATGAGTGGGAAGGGGGTATAGACTTGCTGTTGGGACACACGGTGGCTGGCATGGGATGGGAAGTCAACCGCCTTCCTCAAGCTCCGGCCAGAATAGGTTCGGGCTGGCGTTGGCGGTGATGTGGCCAAGGAAGAGGCGGTGGAAGCGGTGCTGGTGGGAGAGGCTCGGATGGGGGAACGGGGAAGGGGAAGGGGAGTAGAGACTTGAGAGGTGAGCTTGGGAAGTGCAGAGGATGTAACAGTGGATGAGTGGGCGTTGTCTGCCTCTCTCAGTGAGTGAGTGAGTCCGTGCGTGGGTGGGTGGGTGTGTGCATGCGTGCGTGCGTGGTGGTGAGGAAGCGGGAGGGAGGGATGAAGAACAACTTGGAATTCACACCTCCATGGTGTTGAGGAAGCGGGCGAGCAGCACGGAGCGTGTTGTGCACTCCATGCGGCGGACCTCCATGGCAGCGCACACATACAGATGCCGCAGGTGCAGCAGCAGGTGCAGCAGCAGCAGCAGCATTGTTTTGAGTCGACTCAGAACACAGCTCACCTCCATGGTGGTGAGGAAGCGGGCGAGCAGCACGGAGCGAGTGGTGCATTCCATACGTCGGACCTCCATTGCCGTGCACACATACAGATGCCGCAAGTGCAGCAGCAGCAGCAGCAGCGGCAGCATGGGGATGAGTATCCACGGCACAGCTATGCATGCTGATACCACTGCGGCAACGCACAGGCCGAAGGGCTGCAGGCAAGTGGAGGACGGGAAGGATAGTACGGGTTTAGCGGGAGTGGGATGATGGAGAATGGAGATGGGAGAGTGGGTGACTGGGAGTATGGTGGGAGTAACTTTGTGTATTCACATGGTATCCAGCTGACATGAAACCCCTAACTCGTTTTGAACCCTCCTCAATCTTCCCTCCCTCCATCACGCTCCCCCACCCCTCTCTCGACCCTTCGACTCACATTGAGGAAGTCCAGCAGCAGCTGCGGAAGCACATTGTCAGTCACCCCGAGGTCCTCACTGAAGCGGTTCAGCACGCGGCCCGTGGGGTTGGGTTGGGTTGCAGTAAAATAACGCGAGTGGGGTGACTATTGAGTCTCACTCTCAACTCACATTCAGAAAATCCAGCAGCAGCTGGGGCAGCACATCATCGGTAACCCCGAGGTCCTCACTGAACCGGTTCAGCACGCGGCCCGTGGGGTTGCGGTGGAAGAAGGCCAGCGGCGAGGCGAGCACGGACGAAAGCATAAGTGAGTGCATGCGGGAGGAGGCGCGCAGCGCGGCGAAGTGGATGAGCAGCGAGGAGAGGAGGGAGAGGGCCACACAGGACAGGGCGATGGCTGCCAGCGTGACCAGTGGGTGCGGTGTGGTTTCCGGCGCCTCTGTCCACAGGCCCAGGAACCTTGGGGGGGAGGGGAGCGGAGGGGATTAGAGGAGAGAGATGTGGGTTGCGGTGGAAGAAGGCAAGCGGCTAGGCGAGCACGGAGGCAAGCATGAGTGAGTGCATGCGGGAGGAGGCGCGCAGCGCGGCAAAGTGGAGGAGCAGCGAGGCGAGGAGGGAGAGGACCACGCAGGAGAGGGCGATGGCCGTGAGGGTGGCAAGCGGGTGCGGTGTGGTCTCAGGCTCCTCCGTCCACAGGCCTCCGGGGTGGAGGGGAGGGGCGGGGAGGGAAGGGGAGGGGCGGGGAGGGGAGGGGAGGGGAGGGGAGGGGAGGGGAGGGGAGGGGAGGGGAGGGGAGGGGAGGGGAGGGGAGGGGAGGGGAGGGGAGGGGAGGGGAGGGGAGGGGAGGGGAGGGGAGGGGAGGGGAGGGGAGGGGAGGGGAGGGGAGGGGAGGGAGGGGAGGGGAGGGGAGGGGAGGGGAGGGGAGGGGAGGGGAGGGGAGGGGAGGGGAGGGGAGGGGAGGGGAGGGGAGGGGAGGGGATGGGAGGGGAGGGGAGGGGAGGGGAGGGGAGGGGAGGGGATGGGAGGGGAGGGGAGGAGGGGCAAGAGTCATCAAGCATGGAGCAGGAGGGATGGGCAGATGTCCGATGGAAGAGGCACACAGGAGGCGTGGATGAGCAGTGAGACGAGAAGGCGAGAGGGCCATACAGGAGGGGGCGATGGCCGTGAGGGTGAGAAGTGGGGGAGGGGATGGCGAGAGGAGGTGATGGGGGGGCGTGCATGAGAGAGAAAGGGAGCGTGAGGGAGGAATTTCCTCACCAGCTGACGAGGGCGTTGGAGACGTGTGCGGCGAGGAAGAGGGCGGCAAAGAGCAGCAGAGGCAGCACGCGGATCTTTCTGGCGTAGCCCCAAAACACCAACAGGGGGATGGCACCGCGCTGCCACCCTTCCACGTCCAGCAGGCCTGCAGGCACACACAGCGATTGGGGTTAGCGTCGGATGGGACAGGGGGGAGCATGGAAACACACATGATCGCGTGGGACAGGCAGTGGAAAGCCACGCACACGTTTGCATGCCTACGTTTGCATGCCTACGTTTGCATGCCTACCTTGCTCATCACCTTCTGTGGACCCACTCTCCTCCTGCTCTCCCTCCCCCCTCCGAAAGAGGGAGTAACTCTCTGCTGCTAATGGTCCTTCTCTTGACTTGCACAACGAGCCCTCAGCAGCCTGGTCCTCAAGTGAGACACGCTCCCCCTCCCTGCATGCGTCTACCACTCCCTTCCCCACCTCCGCTGTCTCCACCTCAGCCTCTGTCCCTAAGAGCACCTCTTTCTCACTTCCTCTCAATGACGTGTTTCTATGAATGCCGTCCTTAGTCAACTGAATCTTCTCCACCTCATCCCCTGTCCCAATGAGGGCCGCAGCCTCTGCCTGCTCCACCTCTGCCCTTTCCTCGCTTCCTCTCACCGACGAGTCCCCATGAATGCCCACCCTGCAGCCCCTCGTGCCGACTGTTGGCGCATCTGTGTCTCTCTCGCTGCCTGTGCCACGATCTACACAGCTGCCACTGCTGCTGCCCGCTGTGTCGCCAGTTTTGCACCTCTGTGAATGAACAACGGTGCCGTCCACACCCGTGTTAGTGGTGACAGTTGCATTGCCAGCAGCAGCACAGTCACCGCCAGTGACAGTGGCACACATGGCACTGTCAGAGCCAGTGTCACGTTTGCTGCTGCAGACCACCGTGGTGCCGCTTTTGCAGCTCCGTGAATCAGCAATCGTGCCGTCCACACCCGTGTCAGTGGTGACAGGGGCACAGACGACCGTACCAGAAACAGTGACAGTGGCACACATGGCACTGTCAGAGCCAGTGTCTGAAACACCCCTCCCACCAGAGAGAGGTTGCCCCAGTGCCGGAGGGGGATGGTCACAGTGTTGTTGCGCAGAGGGCAGGGTGCATATGTCACTCCATGTGCTTTGAGGTGCCTCAAAAGCTTTGAGGGGCTTCAGAAGTTGTGCAAAGGGCAGAGGGGGGTTGTCGCAGTTTTGTTGAGCAGAGGGCAGGGCGCAGAGGTCACTCCATGCGCCACACGCCGCTGCTCTGCCGCTGTTCAGCACCAACACTCTGTGGCAGCTGGGGATGAGGGAGAGGGAGGGGAGCAGAGGAAAGACAGAGGGAGAAACAATTGTACTATGCACACGAAACAATTGTAGTATGCACACGAAACAATTGTAGTATGCACACGAAACAATTGTAGTATGCACACGAAACAATTGTAGTATGCACACGAAACAATTGTAGTATGCACACGAAACAATTGTAGTATGCACACGAAACAATTGTAGTATGCACACGAAACAATTGTAGTATGCACACGAAACAATTGTAGTATGCACACGAAACAATTGTAGTATGCACACGAAACAATTGTAGTATGCACACGAAACAATTGTAGTATGCACACGAAACCATTGTAGTATGCACACGAAACAATTGTAGTATGCACACGAAACAATTGTAGTATGCACACGAAACAATTGTAGTATGCACACGAAACAATTGTAGTATGCACACGAAACAGTATGCACAGTTGTATTGTATGGGATGCAATGCAACAGATAATTTCCGTCTCTCCTCCCTCATCAATCGTCTGCTCCATCCAAACCCACCCTTTCTCCATCCCCTTCCCTTCCCCCACACCCATCACCATACCTCCCAAGGTACTGCACGTGGTGAGTGACGACAATCCGGGGCAGCCCTGCCAGCAGCCCACACACGCACTGCTGAAACACGTGGCTGGCAACGGCTGGATCCAACGCGGCAAGAGGGTCGTCTAGGAGGACCAGCACGGGTGGGGGCGCACTCCGGCTGCTGCTGCTAGTTCTATTGCTGCTGCTATTGTTACCACCACTGTTTCCACTGCTGCTACCGCTATTGCTGCCGCCATTGCCATCAGTGTGTGCCTGAGGTGTGGCATATGCTGCCCGGGGTGACTTTAGAGTCGACTCAAAGGTCATCTTGCAGTGCAGTGCAACATACGCCGCCCGGGCGAGCGACATGCGCGCCCTTTGCCCGCCACTGAGGTTGCCGCCGCCCTCCTCCACCAATGATTCATCGCCACGTGGCATTAGGGCCAAGTCCGTGCGGAGGGCACAGGCGTCCAACACCTTCAGTGGGGGAGGGAGATAGCAAGTGAGAGGGGGGGGGGGGGGGGGGAGAAGGGAGATAGGGGAGCAAGAGAGAGCGGGGAGGAGAGTGCAATGGGGACGACGTTTAAGGCACCTCAGAAGTCCAACGTTTGAGCACAGGACAGGACACACGCATCCACCACCTTGAGTGGGGGAGGGCAGCAGAGTGAGCGAGGGGGAAGAGGGCATTGGTAGACGTTCAGAGACGATAACTAGCAGAATGAGAGAGAGTGGCGAGGAGATGGAGGCGGGGAGGAGAGGGCAAAGGGGAGGAGAGGGCAAAGGGGGGGAGAGGGCAAAGGGGAGGAGAGGGCAAAGGGGGGGGGAGAGGGCAAAGGGGAGGAGAGGGCAAGGGGGAGGAGAGGGCAAAGGGGAGGAGAGGGCAAAGGGGAGGAGAAGGCAAAGGGGAGGAGAGGGCAAAGGGGGGGGGAGAGGGCAAAGGGGAGGAGAGGGCAAAGGGGAGGAGTGGGCGACGGGGAAATGGGACGGCAGAGGGGAGCCTTAAGAGACGTTCAAACGCAAGACAGAATCAGTTCAGACCTTTCTTGGCATGCAGTGTACCTTAGCATAGAGAGCCTTGTGTAGCGTTGTACCGAATAGGATGTTGTCTCGCACCGTGCCTTCAATGAGGAAAGGCTGGTGGAATAGACGCACGGGGGAAAGGGGAGAGGAGGGGTAGGGTGGGGGAGGTTTTAGTCGATGCAAAACTCGAATAGGATGTTGTCTCGCACCGTCCCCTCAATGAGGAAAGGCTGGTGGCATAGACGCACACGGGGGAAAGGGGAGAGGAGGGGTTGTGAGAGAGAGGAAGGTGGTTGGTGGTAGGTTGTAATATGCAGAAGTGAGTCAAAGAGGTACGGGAGGACACAACACAGGGATGTGCCTTGTGCGTGGAAGGGAAAGGCTGACACACATCAGGTCACTGGCAAAGGGTGGCAAAGGATGAGAGACGAGTGGGTGGGGAAGGGGTGAGAGAGAGACGAGAAGCAAAGGTTGAGCGGCAAATGGGAGGCAGACCTGCTGCGATGCGTAGGCGAGGGAAGGCACGGAGCGGTGCATGGCGCCCGATGAGTGAGGCACTTCCCCCAGAATACCCAGCAGCAGCAACGACTTGCCACTGCCCGTCTGCGAGGTGGAAAGGGTGGGGTGGGAGGCAGTGTAAATAGCATGATCACAGCGGTGTTTTCTTGAAGCCTGCATTACAGTCAAGTGCGATACTCAGCAGGCAGCACAGCAGGCAGCACAGCAGGCAGCACAGCAGGCAGCACAGCAGGCAGCACAACACGCAGCACAGCAGGCAGCACAGCAGGCAGCACAGCAGCCTGTGACAGCCAGAGGCGCACAACACACACAATGAACACGCATGCTGCAAGCAAGAGCATTCCATAGCAGGCAATAGCAGGCCGCGGGCAAGCAGCAAGCAGCGGGCAGCGGGCAGCACGCAAGCAGCGGGCAGCACGCAAGCAGCAAGCAGCGGGCTCACCTTGCCAGTGACTCCCACGACCTCTCCCTCTCACCTTGCCAGTGACTCCCACGACCTCTCCCTCTCACCTTGCCAGTGACTTCCACGACCTCTCCCTCTCACCTTGCCAGTGACTCCCACGATCTCTCCCTCTCACCTTGCCAGTGACTCCCACGACCTCTCCCTCTCACCTTGCCAGTGACTCCCACGACCTCTCCCTCTCACCTTGCCAGTGACTCCCACGACCTCTCCCTCTCACCTTGCCAGTGACTCCCACGACCTCTCCCGCTCACCTTGCCAGTAACTCCCACGACCTCTCCCACTCACCATGCCAGTGACTCCCACGACCTCTCCCGCTCACCTTGCCAGTGACTCCCACGACCTCTCCCTCTCACCTTGCCAGTGACTCCCAAGACCTCTCCCTCTCACCTTGCCAGTGACTCCCACGACCTCTCCTGCTCACCTTGCCAGTGACTCCCACGACCTCTCCCTCTCACCTTGCCAGTGAATCCCACGACCTCTCCCTCTCACCTTGCCAGTGACGCCCAGCAGCTCTGCCTCTCCCAGCCTTACGCTCACTCCCTCCACCCGCCCGCTCGGTGCGCATGCACCGTCTATCTCAACATGTCCCTCTTGCTCCTCCCGTGCAGTCACACACGTGCCCTCCAAGGCAGCAGCACCAGCAGCATCAGCAGAAGCATCCGCAGCAGAAGGGCCAACAGCGGGGGAAGGGCCAGGAGCATGAAAGCTCATTAAACGCTGCAGGGAACGCACGCGGAAAGCTTTGGGGACGCGTCGGAAACTCCTGACACTGCTCATGTAGCCCTTGCCATAAGGCGTGCCATCTACCGTGCTAGGCTCAGTGACATCCAGAACATGCCCGGCCGATGCTTGAGTCGACTCAGCAATCGCCTCAAGCGGTGGCTTTTTCCTCCTTCCTCTGAATCTCTTTCCTCCTTTTTTTTCGCTCTCCCTCTTCCCCTCGCGCTTAACCTCCCCAGCTGCTTCTCCCCAAGCGAAAGAGGCCCATTCAAGCACCAAGGCAGCACGGCGGGGATAGGGAAGGCGTGTGAGAGAAGAGGAGGAGAGGCTGTGGCTGGGCAGTGAGGCGAGCTCTGAGGATGGTGAGGACTGGAGACTCGGTGCTGGGGGGTGTATACTTGGTACTGTAGACTGGAGACTCGGTGCTGTGAGAGCAGCAGTTGTTGATTCAGGTGGCTTGGTGGTGGTTGGGGTGTCAATGGCATAGCGGCGCGCTTTTGGGAGCATAGCAGAGCCATTCTGAGATGGCGCTTCTTGCGGCCTGGCTCCGTGGGGAGTGCTCTGTTGGAGTGAAGGTGGCACGCACAGGGAGGTGCACGCACAGGGAGGTGCGCGCACAGGGAGGTGGCACCCACAGGGAGGTGGCACGCACAGGGAGGTACATGTAGAGGCAGGCAACGGGGATGAGACGGCATTCAGTAAGCTGGATGAGCCACTCATCGCACCCACCCATCTATCCACCCACCCACCTACCCACCCACCCATGCACATCGAGGTATATTGAGGCTTTCTCTCATCACCAATCGGACCTCATCACCAATCGGACCTCATCACCAATCGGACCTCATCACCAATCGGACCTCATCACCAATCGGACCTCATCACCAATCGGACCTCATCACCAATCGGACCTCATCACCAATCGGACCTCATCACCAATCGGACCTCATCACCAATCGGACCTCATCACCAATCGGACCTCATCACCAATCGGACCTCATCACCAATCGGACCTCATCACAACATTGCAGCCGTTATTTGTATCCACCCACCCACCTGGACGGCATTTGTAGTGCTCCAACCACTCAACAGGGCGTGCGCTGAAACGCGTTGATAACGACAGGCGGTGAAAAATCCGAGAGAAATGGTGCGTGGTTTGGAGTCGAGTCGAGTCAAGAAGAATCGCTGCAAACGTGTTGGTCGGTAACTATAGGCGGTGAAAAGACAAGAGAAGGGTGGGTGGGTGGGTGGGTTGGCAACAACAAAGAGCATGCTGCTTCCCGCATGCTGACTTTTGAGGTGCCTCAAAAGGCAACAGCAAAGAGCATGCTGCTTCCTGCATGCCGACCTGCAGAAGTTCTGACCTGCAGGAAGTGTGAGAGTCGCTTGAAGCTGACAAACGCCTCTGCTATTTGCTGTATGCCGTAGGCCACCTTCCACCCCATGGTGTAGTGCGGGATCTGCGGGGATATGGTATGGAGGGGAGGAGGGAACGGAGCGAGGAGCGGAGGGAACGGAGGGAGGGGAGGAAGGGAAGTGTGGGGCATGTTAAGAGGACTGTTTACAGAGAAGCAACGGTGCACGATGACATGACCATCCCACTCAACTCAGTCCCCCACGATTGTTGAGGCGCCTCAACAATTTCAACAGTGCACAATGGCCAGCAGCCCACGCGCCGTTGAGCAACGCATTCAATCCACTCCCCCACGCGCATTCAATCCACTCCCCCACGCGCATTCAATCCACTCCCCCACGCGCATTCAATCCACTCCCCCACGCGCATTCAATCCACTCCCCCACGCGCAGTCAATCCACTCCCCCACGCGCATTCAATCCACTCCCCCACGCGCATTCAATCCACTCCCCCACGCGCATTCAATCCACTCCCCCACGCGCATTCAATCCACTCCCCCACGCGCATTCAATCCACTCCCCCACGCGCATTCAATCCACTCCCCCATGTTAGAGGGCCCTACGACAGCAAGGGCCCTCGATGACCTTTGACTTGGCAGGTCGGCGCCTAACGACTGAGTCTACTCGGCACCGACGCACGAGTTCGGTGGCGGTCATTAGTGACTACGGGTGACTGTGAGCTACTGCAGCGAACTCGGCGGAATCGGTGCTAGGAATGACGAGTCTTGGGGGTCGTAGGTGCCTTGCTTGTGAGGCACGCTGCTCACTTGCTGTGTTGGCAGGAGTAGCGTGCACGGTGAGACATTCCGGTGCCGAGTTGGGTTGGAAATGTGCGGGGCGCGTTCACCCACCTGCACAGCACTTTCGTGTGGGTTGGGTTACTCGCAGCGCCACGCAACAATTGTGCAACTCTTGCTTGCCTATATATGTTTGTGTTTGCTTGTGTGTTTGATAATTGATATTGCAATTCTACTTGGCCCAAATGCTACTTCAATTCTCACAAAGTCCTTAGAGGCAAACGCTACCAAAACTCTACCAAGTTGCTGGCGCAACATCATTCCCATAGCAGAGACTCTCTCGCTATCGCTACGCTCTCTAATATATTCCTTCATGGTGCGGTGAGCGTGGAACGAACACGCATAGATTTCCGTCGACGTTCGTTAGTATACTCGCCTTGGCGTGCGGCGTTAGTGAAGGGCGCTCATTAATTTAAGTTGAACCTCTCTTAATTTCCCTCCAGTTACGTTCTCGGACCCAAGGATAGGGCGCTTGGTAATTTATTACCATTCATCTGAGGACCCTTGTGAGGTGACCCCGAGACGAGGGATTCAAGGAAGGGACAATTTATTTTAATTTGTGGTACCTTGTAGAGACGTCGTAGAGGATGAGTACGGAGGAGACGAACGTGGAGGCCGGTAGTCTTCGCGCACTAGAGGAGGATCTCGAGGCCCGTCATTCTCGTGGTGAGCTTAGTGATCTAGAATACGAGCTCATGATGGAGGGATTACGCTCTCGTCAGCGTCGCGACCATCCCTCGCCACGTGTAGAGAATGTTGAGCAAGCTGCGGTAGTGCGTGGGATATGCTTGGCGATGGCGGAAATAGCGATGACGAGGAGCTTGATGGGTTGATGTCGCGTGGGGTCCTGCGAGGACCAACTCGGTTTAGTACGGCTAGCGTCGGCGGTGTACAGGAGCGTGTTCATCGTGCAGCAGCGTCACGAGAGCATGCGAATGTAGGACGGCGGAGCGTTGCTGGAGGAGGAAATGCGGAAGAGTACGATAGTGAGGCTATGCCGGGCGTTACCCCGATTGGATCGATGTCGAGGGACGAGGGAATAGCCCCCAACTATGGCTTCTTCAAATTCACTCCAGACAAGATCGTCGTCCCTAGGCCATTAGAAGGACGTCACGACCTGTCGACGTGGACAGAATCGATCGAGCCGCAGCTTGAGATCGCTCAGTTAAAGCGATTCATAGATGGCACCACTCCCATTCCACCAGCGCGTGCACTTGCACATCTCTCTCAGTTCCGCGCGATGCAGTTGCTAACGTTCACCACCATTTCCCGATGCTGCTCCCCAACCGTACAGATCGCCCTTAAGGCGTGCCGCTTCAAGGTAGATGCCGGCTTTCAGGCATGGCAGTTTATCATGCGCACGTATATGGCGAAGGACGACCTGTACATAGGTCAGCTAGAGCAGGCGCTCACTAACCTCGAGATGGGAGAGCATGAGTCCGCTACGTCCTATTGCAACCGTGCGCAGCAGATCCTAGTGAACCTGAGGATGGCCGGCGTAGATTACTCGCAGGCGTCGTACATTACTCACGTTGTGAAGGGGTTGCCGCAGCAGTACAACCTCTTACGCAGGATGCTGAAGTTGCCGCAGGTGCGCAAGGAGTTGGACGAGGACACCCTCGCTAGCTACATCATCGAGGAGGAATGTACGCTGGCGGCGGAGGGACGAAAGGACCAATTCCTTCCCCAGGCTAACCAGGTCTTTACCAAGAAGGGTAAGCCCCAATTCCAGCAGACTTCATTCCCTTCCCCTCCCACTACGGCACAGCAGCAGCAGCCTAAGACTGGGGGTGGGGTTGGTGGGGGAGGGGAGAAGTGGAAAGGGGGTAAGGATGGCCAGCCGAAGGGGGGGAAAGGGGGCTTCAAGAGGAAGTGCTATGTGTGTGGACAGACAGGGCATGTTGCTAAGTACTGTCAGCAGCGGGCGGATAAGGAGGCAGACACTAGTGGAGAGGGTTCTGGAGGTAGCAGCGGAAAGGGGGGTGATGGCTCTAAGGGGAGCGGGCAGTCATCATGTGCGATGGTGAAGCCCGTTGTGGAGCAGACTCCTCTCGTTGTGCTAGAGCCTGAGGCCGGGGAGGGCTTACAGGCTGTTGCAGCTGCTGTGAAGGCGAACCCGAGCGTCGTGCTGCTTGATAGCGGATGCTCCCACCATCTCATGGGAGATCGTTCTGCCTTTGTGGAGATGAGCAGCGGCGGCAGTATTAAACAGGTTACCGGCTTCAACGGCGCTCTTCAGGAGGTGCAGGGGCGGGGCACAGTCGCTCTTCTTGGAGAGGGGGGCAGGCGTGTCTTGGTGCCGGACGTGCTGTACGTACCAGGAGTGCAGGCGAGTCTTCTCTCTGCTGGGCAGCTGCGTGATAGTGGTGTGCAGCTGCTGGATGCCGGGGATGTGACTTTGCTGCGGGCACCAGATGGATCGCTCCTTGGTCGTGCGGAGTTCAAGGGGCGTGTTCTCTGCACGAACTTCCAGCCGTGTTCGACGCAGCAGCAGGAAGGCGAAACGGTGGCACTTCGTACCTTGGCGACCGGCGTACGGTCTAAGGGGGACCTGTGGCATGCGCGTATGGCACACGTTGGTATTGATGCCATCGAGCGCACAGCGGCTCACGGGTCAGTGAAGGGCTTGGATTTGGAGAAGGGGGGCAAGTCAGGCATACCTTGTGTCTCCTGTGTTGGGGGAAAGATCACTCGTCATACCTTTCCTTCTGTGGGAGAGGAGGAGGATGAGTTGCTCGGGGTGGTGCATGCTGACCTGTGTGGCCCTTTCCGTGAAGCAGCTAAGGACGGCAGCCGCTACTTCTTGGTGCTGAAGGATCGCAAGACGCGATATGTCTGGGCCTACCC